ATGTAGGGGTAGGTCAATTTTAATAGTAATAGACAGGAATCCTAGCAAGTTGTAATGGTGACTAGTGCTTTTTAAAAATTATTTTATTTTTAAAAACCTTAAATATTATTGCAAAAAAATTTTTTTACAAAATTTTGAATGCATCTGTGCATGCATATCCAGAAAGAGAGAGAGAAAGAGAGAGAGAGAGAGAGAGAGAGACAGAGCTATTTCACTTTTTGATATTCAAATTGTCAAATTGATGTTCAAATTTATCAAAGACAAATTGTCCCTAGTCTTTGATAGTCTACTTGTATTCTGGCACAGAAGTCCAAGATTTGTTTTCTTTTATGGGCTCTTTTTCTTTTACATTAAATGACAAAAAGCATAATTTGTATTCCAGAGGTGTTTATTTTTCCAATGTCTTGGCTATTCTGTATGAGAGAGATATAAAGTTCATATATTTCTGTAAAATGAGAGACATGAGCTTACACTAATATTTTAATGCAGGCTTATTTAATAACATCTTACTTAGGTTGGGAGCCTGTTTTTGGTTACCATCTGTTCTCTTCCTTTTTGTATATGTTCATACATACACTTGTTCTGAAAGAGGATTAATGTTAGCACTACAAATCAAACTACTTTTTCACATGCTATCATGGTTCCTTCAGTTGTATATGTATCTCTTGAAGGATGTGTAGCCAAAATAGGGTGGCTTGGGCCCACTTGAAATAATTCTTGCAAGATACGTGATACCATGACTGTTTATACACATAGGGTTGGCTGAGTTGGTTCTTGTCGCTGGACATTCAGGTATTTCACAGTCTGCCATAAACAGTACGGCAGTAAATGACTTCATAATATTTATGCACCACCATGTTTCGGGGATAGATTTCTGGAAATGGGATTCCTGAGGAAGAGGACTAGAACTTGTCTTGATTTTCTCAAGTTCTTCTCTGCAGAGTTAAAGATACTTTGCATTAGCTCCTTCTACGCCTGGGAGTATCAATTCATCGACACCTTCACCCACAGGGTATACTTTTAGACTGCTGAGACCTGCCCCGTGGAGGCTTGGCTTGCATTCTTCCCACTGAGAGCAAAGTTGAACTCCCAGAGACCTCTGCTGTGTGTTGTTGGAGGGAAAGTGCTGGCTGCGAAAGAGCAGCTGCCTGTAACTTGACCAGTGAGCGCGTAGGGTGACTGCAGCGCTGTGACCTGCGGTGTTGCTGCTGAGACAGTTGTGGTATTCCTAAATGTTGAAGGAGACAGGGAGACTAGTATGTTCTTACTTGATGTGCATAAGCAGAAAATGTCTAAGCCATGGGAACGAAAATGTAACTAAAATCACAAAAGCAAAGAAACACCACCTCTCAGTTACTTTGCAGGTGTGGATCAGCAAACAGACATAAAAATGTCTTGAAGAAAAGGGAGGCAGTTTCCTTTTGGGCAAAGAACCCTGGGACACTATTGAAAATTTATACAGCTAATCTTTCTCCAGTCCTTCTGCAGGAACGTAGGACCTTTTACCTTGATGGCCACACATTGTAGAGAAGAAATACTCAGAACTTTTAAGTCCTACTGAACTCTGGATTGGAACTGACATTGATTCCAAGAGACCTAAGATAGCACCGTGTCCCTCTGCCCTTCAGTTGGTATACGGGCTTGTGGACATCAGGTGGTTGATAATTGTCCCTCAGGCTGGATTCATGTCAGTCCTCTGAACCCACCCTATGCCCAGTTCCCAGGTTCCAGTAGGTGCAATTGTGACAGACATTCTTACTCTCGGAGTCAGCAGGACTCCCACAGTAGTTCCCTGACTTCAGAAGTGAAGGTCGTGAGTCTGGCTATTATTATGGTCAAGGCTAAATAGAAGCTATTAAAGCTGTCTGTATATGGGAAAATAAGCCATCAAAAGTGGCACTGCATCCCTGGAAAGACTGCTGAGATCCAAGCTGCCTTCAAGGGTGCAAGTGGCTGAGATGGTGATTCCCACAATATTCCCATTCAGCTCTCCTACTTGGCCTGGAAATGGTTCAAAGACGTAAATGCTAAGAAAAGAAACACTTAACCTGCTGGAAAAGAGATTAGGTAAAAACTCTCGAAGTAATGGGCACAGGCAAAGATTTTCTGGATGGAATTCCAATTACACAAAAATCACATCAAGATTTAACTAATGGTATAATATGAAATTAAAAATGTTCTGCACAACCAAAGAAACAACCAACAGAGTAAAGACAACATTCAGAATGAGGAAATCGTTGTCAGCCAATCCGTAGAGGACTAATAGTTAGAATATATAAAGAACTAAAAATACACAAGCCTTCCAAAATAAAGGACTCTGTCAAAAAAAATGGCCAATAGAAATGAACAGACACTTCACAAGAAAAAAAAAAGACATACAAATGGTAAGTGATTACATTAAATGATGTTTGGTCTCTTTGGCCATTAGAGAAATGCAAAGCAAAACAACTGTGAGATTCCATCTAACTTCAGAAAGCAGGTTATCATTTAGAATTCAAAAATCAACAAGAAAGGATTGTGGAGGAAATAAAACCCTTTCACACAGTTGAAAGGAGTGTAAACTAGTGCAAACACTCTAGAAATAAGGATGATGAGTTGTCTGAAAATTAAAGGTAGGGACTGCACTTGGCCTGGCACTCCCTCTTCGGGGTATCTTCCCTAAACAGTTAATGACATCGTATTACAGTAACAGCCCATGGCAAGCAGGCAGCAGACAGCAAAGCAGCAGGCAGCAGGCAGCAGCGGCAAGCTGCAAGTCCTCCCCAGCAAGCCTCTTTCTGAACCCCACCTTTTCAGGCCACCCATCTCACTGAGGGCAGGTGGTGCTTACATCCGAGGAGGGCTTCCCATTGTCCATGCCCAGCATTGCGCCAAGCCAATCAGTGGACTGATGTAGTGATCATTCCAGCATCAGCGACTCTAGATCCAGCCATCTCCGAAAAGCCCCACCTGTGAGTTGCATGAGGCTTTGCGGGGACATCTAGGCACAAACAGTAACGCTTTCTTATTGCCATGTTGTACAAAACATGGAAAATTATACCATGATCATAGATTGAAGATTCTATCTTCTAATGTAGTCCCAATCAAAATTTCAGCAGGATTTCTATCTTGTGAAATTTGAAAGGTTGATTCCATGCTTCATGAAATATGTATGAGTAGATGAAAGTGGCAAGAGGTTGTGAGTTTGACTCCTGGTACCAATGCAGGGAGAGAGAAATGGATTTTGCACATAGGGATGATGTTAGATTATCCACTTATGACATTCAAACTGGAAATTATTAAAGTAAAAATGTACAGAATTACTGCAAGACTGAAGGTCACACAAGCATGAAAGGAAGTTAACAAGCCAATCAGGTAAAGACCTGGCAGGGTAAAGAATATTTGAAAACATTAAAGCAAACTTGAGTTCCTTGAATTAATGAGCATATTTAGTATTTGTCACTTGAACTAGAGACCATATGAAAGTTTTAGCTAAGTTGGAAGGTACTAAGACTCAAAACTAACCTTAATAAATACCGAATATTTAGTTTCATGTACATAAAATCACAGTCTTTAATAACATTTGAAAGAAAAATCAATGCTAAAATTCAGGCACAATGTCATATTCTTTTGGAAGAATATGACGAAAAGACTGCTAAATATTTAAATAGGTGTGGCTTCCCAAGTAAGTCCATGATACATTCATAAATGAATGACTGATAAGGATCACACACCAATATCTGAGTGACACCGCTAAAATGATGATGACAGGACAACTCAAAGCTTCAGGTGCATCCATTAGGAAAGGGGAAAGGCTGGCCATCATTGGACTAATTTTCAGAATCGACATCTATTAAAAGGAGAAAATGATCTCAGCAAAGACCAAAGAAATTTGATATGGTACAAACAGATGTCTGTGGAAGAGGAAACAAGCCATAGGGGTACTCCAGGACTCCAAGAGTGGATTCTTAGCTACAGGGAGGCGAAGAGAGGAGGGTAGCATGCAAGGAGGGTTTGATGCATGACACACACGTTCTGGAATCATCACAGGCAGGTGCATGAATTTGTACAGATAATATATGTTAATAAAAAAATAAATACATAAATATCTAATTACAAACTAGGTATCAAACAAGATTAATGAAATGAAAGAAAGTGTCAACATGTCATACTAGAAAAAACATATCATCAGACCCAGTGGGATGTTGTTTCTATAATTTTATGAAAAATTATTTTAAAAACCTAGATAATATTTTTATAGTACACTTAAACAATTAGATGAAATAAGTTATTTCTTAGGGAATATATAAATGACTATTTTGGTTACTTTTTCTCTTGTTGCTGGGACCAAACACCTGACACTCAAAATGAAGGACAGAAAGGTTTATGGAGCTCACAGTTTATGGAGATTTCAGTCCATACTTCACTGGCTTCAGGCTAAGTGACGCATGCAGAGGGTAGCAGTTCATGGAGGTAGAGAACAGCAATAGCAAAAAGGGAGGAACAGTGGTGGAGGCAGAGGCAGAGGCAAGCCTTTCTCCCTTTCTTATATGGCATCCAAGCTATCTGCCCCAGGGTGGGTGCAGCACTCACACCCATAATCCCAGCAGCACTCACACCCATAATCCCAGCAGCACTCACACCCATAATCCGAGCAGCATCTACACTCATAATCCCAACAGCAATCACACTCATAATCCCAGCAGCACTCACAACCATAATCCTAGCAGCACTCACACCCATAATCCCAGCAGTGCATACACTCATAATCCCAGCATTGGGTCATAGATTAATCACAAACTTTAGAAGTCTGCCCCAAGACTGCATGATGCTTTGGGGGAACACCTACAATGACCAAAGGTAGTAACAATAAGAATAAGTAATAATAATAAAAAAAGGAAAAGATAAATGGTCTCTTAAAAGGAAAGAACTGAAATTGTGAGTTCATTCCACTTTTTCCTCAGATGACATCAGGTTTATAGTGTTTCAAATAAGTTTTATAAAACATTCAAATACTATACATGCTCGCTTCGGCAGCACATATACTAAGATTGGAACGATACAGAGAAGATTAGCATGGCCCCTGCGCAAATACTGTACGTTATCTGACTCAAGGGCTTCAGATAAAAGCAACGATGGTCAGCTCCAATTGTGCGGCTTAATATAACCTTCATGTCCAAACATATAAAAAGATGGGATAGTTAATTTCAATTAAATACAGTAATATTTAATTGAAAATCACAATATATACACATAATGTTCATCCCAAGATTGGTTGAATCTGAGAAAAATGGACAGTAAATGAAGCAAGAAAAAGAATTCTGATTATTTCAACAGTTATTGAACATGTTGAATTAAAAGCCATTCCTAGTAAAACTTTGTTATGAATTTTCTTCTTATATTACATATTGAAACTAATATTATATAATAAAATTACCCTGAATACTGCTTTTAATAGTTAACTATAAGAAGCATTCTTTTTTTACTTCAGGCCAGAACAATAATGTTACGATCATTTTTCAACAATATCTTGCAATTTTACCAAAATCCATGAGGGATAGAAAGAACCATATTTCATGAGTTAGAAAGAAGCAACGAAGTTGTCGTGTATGAACAAGTTTGTTTTTTTTACATCAAGAACCTAAAGAATATAAAGATAATACATTTACTTATATTAATTGACCAACTGAAGTTGTCAGTTGCCAGCTTCAAGCTGAATATGCAGAATCAATAACCTTCCCGCATGTCAGGAAGCAATTAATGAATTCTACCATTATTTATTCTATCCCTAATGGGCTTTCTTTTTACGGGATTTCTGGGTTTTATCATTCTTTTTCTCTGCAAAGAACTTATGTGTTGCGTATGGCAAGTGTACTCATGATATGTTTCCTCAATAGTTATTTATATGTGAAACCCTTCATTTCCTCTACATTTGTGAAAAATATCGTTCACCGAGTACAGGATTCTCTCCTGGCATTTCTTTTCCACCCTACTGTGGTCTGAGTGTAACTGTTCTCCCAAGCCTCATGCTTTCATAGGTGGGGCTTCGGGGAGGTGGCTGGATCCAGGGTGTGTGATGCTGAGATTAAAGGTGTGTGGTACTAAATTAGTTCACTGGTTGGTTTAGCACAGTCCTGGGTGGGGACAATGGGAAGGCCTGCCCTGGGTGTGGGTGGCCCCACCACAAGCTTTGTAGCCTGAATAGGATAAAAGGGAAAGGAAAGGTTGGCTTGCTGCCCACTGCCTCCTGTCCGCCCTGCCATGGGCTGTTTCTCTTCCACGATGCCCCTGCTGTGCCGCCCAGCCTTGGAGCCAGAAGACTATGGATGAGACCTCTACAAATGGTGATCCAAATAAGCCCCTCCTCCTTTAGTTTGTGAGTGTCCAGTATTTTGTCCCAGCAACAAGAAAGGTAATTAAGTCAAACTGTACTTCACTCCACTCTTGTTTGCATGTTTTCTGAAAAGATGTGTAATTCCTTCTTATCCTTATTCTGCTATGAGTAGTTTTGTTTTTTGTTTGACTTTGGACAACTTTTCAAGATTTTCTCTTTGCTTTCCATTTCTTGCCATATAAATATATAAAACCTAGGTAAAAAACTTTTTTCATTTTAAAGAGAAAAAAATAAAAACAGTGTTAAAAATTCAAAATAATATAGTAAGTGTAACAGTAGTTAATATATTACATATGATTCTCTTTAAAGTAGGTGCTCAGATTATAAAATATAGGCATGAAAAATATATCAAACTGCAAAAGTTCACCAAGTTTCATAGATCTATGATTTGGTGTCTGTTACTTCAATTTCTCTCTCTCTCTCTCTCTCTCTCTCTCTCTCTCTCTCTCTCTCTCTTTCTCTGCTCTTGAAGTCACTAGGCAGCCCAGGCTGTCCTTGACCGCACAGAAGTCCTCCTGCCTCAGCTTCGCCAGTGCCGGATTATGGGTGCACACTACTGTGCCTGGCAATAATTTCTCTGTTCCTTTCTCTATTTCTTCTGTCTTTGTTAGTTTTGTAATTGTTGAAGATTACTTGGGCATGTTGTTTGAACTTTCCCAGTCTCTCTTCTCTTTGCCTTTGGGGTTGGAAGTTTCTTCCACATCCCCTCAAGTCCACTGACTCTCTCCTCCATCGTATCCAGGCTAATCTGCTCCCTCTCTGTTACAGTGGGTGTTTCGTTTTGTTTTCTTGTGGTACCAGAGATCAAACTTGGGACCTTGGGCTTGCCAGGCAGGCCCTTAAGCAGCTGAGCTCCTCGGCCCACCCCCTTTGCCTCTACCTACCTTGTGACTTTTGGAGTTTCTATCTCTTTGATGGAAGCGTCAGCTTTACCTATCTGTTCATGCACTTTGTTCATTTGTCCTCCTAGAATCGTAGCGCATAAATCATTGTGTGTTCTACCACCTGGCCTCCTAATTCCAGCATCCCTGCCACACTTGAGTCTATGTCTCTTTCAGCCACCTTTTCTGGTTGTGTGCCCATGTAGGTGGTTGCTGAAAGCCACACCACAGCTTCCGTGTCCCCCAGAGGCCTGTGCTGAAGGCCTGGTGGGCACCTGTGGACTGCGGGGGAGTAGAATGTCCATGAGGGTGGCCTCGGGTGAAAGCCGGGCCCAGAGGGTGTGCTTTTGAAGAGGACACTTGCACTCTAGCCCTCGTCTGTCTCTCTTTCCTTTGCGGTTACCGAGGTGAAGAAGCCGCCTCTGCCAGACACAACCATTGTGCTAAGCTGTGCTGCCGCAGACCCGGGGCGATGCAGCCGGCAATCCACACACTGCAGCTTCCACACGGCAAGCAAATAAACCTTCTCCCTCATTAAGTTGATTATCTCTGATGTTTTGTCACAGTGACAGAAAGTTGATTAACACTCCCTGACATGGTGTGCTAAGCAAAAGGAACTAAAGTAAAAATTGGTCTTTGTGTGTGGCTTTATGTTCATGTAGCCAGAAGCTTATTACATGCTGTGGCTGTAGGTATCAGAAGCTAACATTGCTTCCTGCATCTTTGTTTTATCTCTCATTTTGGTGGGTGGGGTGGTAGTATGAGTTTTCCTAGAGACTTCTTGTTAAATAAAGTCTCAGCTCTTTCAATAGTTCTATTATAAAACAGGAACCCCGTTGACATGGTGGCAAGGGGTGTGTGTGTGTGTGTGTGTGTGTGTGTGTACATTCTCAAGTCCCATAACTGGGTCTCAGGAGAGAACCTGTACTTTGGACAATGACCTTCATGTTTTCTCCTTGGTTCCTTCCCTCCTTTGGTGAAATACGTGACAGGAAGGTCTACTGCTGAGTGTCCTCCTCTCTCCAGCTACTAAGGCACCAGCAAGACCATGTCTCACTAGGATGTGGGAAACACTTTCAGTTCAGGGGCAGCCGTGGCCCCGTGTGCTTCAGAGTGTCTGCTCTTCCCCTTCTGCTGTTGGAGCTTGAGGGCCTTTTGCTCTGACCTTTGCTTCGCAAGCCTACCAGCACTCTGGGGGGCAAACTTGGAGGAAGTGTGAGCTCACCAGGAATGGGCTCCCCGGGGGCTGCTCACTTTCACTTGTGTTGCTGTTGAACCTTCAACACCTCATCCATGACAGTGAGGGTTTCCTAGGTTGAGATGAGCGTGTGTCTCAGATTGGTGATACACTGCTGGAATTAAAGTTGGGTGGCTGCTGGAGCAGCCCACTGACTGGAATGGCACCACCCTAATCCTGGGACACTGGATAAAGTAAAGGGACAGAAAGAGGCTTGTCTGACCCCTGCTTGCTGCTTTGCTACTTTCTTCTCACCTTACATGTTCTCTATCAAGCCTCCTTGCCCTGAAGCCAGCTGAGTATGGACTGAAACCTCTACACACTTTTAGCTAAGTAAACTTTTCCTCAGAGAACTAAAGCAAATGAATCAAAAACTCATTTGGAACCCAAAGAGACCCAAAATAGCAAAAGCAATCCTGGGCAACAAAGAAAAGGCAGGGGACATCACAATCCCTGATTTGAAATTATGCTACAAAACTATTGAGCTAAAACAACGTGATACTGGCAAGAACACAGACCTGAGGATCAGTGGATGCAGAAACTACAAGATGCGGAAATATCTCCAGATACACTCAGCCACCCGGTCTTTGACAACAGAGCCCAATGCTTTCACGGGAATGAAATTAGCCTCTTTAATAAATGATGCTGGAAAAACTGGCTTTCTGGATGTCAGAGATTAAAGCTAGAGCCATGTCTATCACTAGGCACAAAACTAAACTAAAAATAGATCAAAGATCTAAATATTAAGACAGAAACACTAAACCTGCTGGAATAGGTAGGACTCTGAAATAGCTCAAACTCTGGAAGGCATAGGTATAACCAAAGATTTTATACCAAAATCCTAAGTGCACAGGAGCTATCACAAAGAAGCAACAACTAGGATCTCATCTTATTTAAAAGCTTTTGTACAAAAGAAAGAAATAACCAGCAGAGTGAGGAGACAACCCACAGAGTGGAAACAAGTTTATGCCAGCTGTTCCTAAGACGAAGGACTAATATCTAGAACATACAAAGAAGTGAAAAACATCAGACCACCCAAATTCAAAGACCCAATCCAAAAATGATCATTTGAGATACAAAGACATCTCTCAGGTGAAGAAGAACAAAAGGCAAATAAATATAGGAAAAAATGCTCAGCACCACTGGCCTTGGATTAAATGCAAATTGAAACAACTTCTGAGATTCCATCTTTGCCCAGAAAGAAGGGCTATTATAAAGAAAAAAATGTAAAAAGAAAGAAAGAAAAGAAAACAATAACAGGTGCTGGAGGGGCTGTGGGGAAAAGGCAGCCTTCGCCACTGTTGATGGGAGTGTACACTGGCACAGTCACTGTGGAAACCAGTGCAGAGACTCCTCAAACATCTAGGATTAGCAGTCCCATTTGACCAAGCCATCCTCCTTCTGGGAATCTCCCCAAAAGAAGAGCATCTTACCGTAGCGATCTATGCACATCCATGTTTATAGTGCACAGCTTGTAATAGCTAAACGTTGCAAGCAACCCAAATGCTCACCAACTGAGAAATAGATTTTAAAAAAATATAATGGAGCACTACTCAGCCATAAAGATAAAATTGTGACTTTTTTACTAAATGGACAGACCTTGAGGCCATAATCGTA